ATCAGCTGTTTGCTGATCATCGTAAAGCGAAAATCGGTTCCTGAAGCAGGGGACCGATCATCGCACAGCGAAAAAAACCCATTTAAACCATCGTTTTGCAATCGCAAAAGCGATCACAAAAACGTCAACATTAAACGGAAAAATCGTTAAATGGGGTAATCGTCCAGCGGGGCACGACTGTAATTCTTCCGGAACATCTATGCTGGAAAAAATCGCTTTCAGAGCTCTGAACGTGATACAAAACAAATCTTGTGAGAAAGGGCTCTGTTTCCCCTACAATAGGCTAACATTTGAGCGATCAGTCACAGAACTGGTTGGGCACCCATTTTGCAGTCTGTCCATGAGCTAGATTCTGGGCTTGGAATTCAAATGATGAGTGAACAAATTTGGACACTAAACTTCCAAGCATCTGGAAGTTTCATCTTTGGAAATACTGGCTTTTATTTTGAAGACAGAACTTCAGCTGATATGAATGATTTCCCACATTTATATGGTGATGAAAAAATGAACTGAAACAAATTTTCAACAAATTTTGGAATACCAGCAATCTGCTGTTTTAACGTTTTTGGAATTCAGGGACATTTTTGATGCAGAATTTTTGGTACTCTGAGTGAAAGCAAAATATATAAAGGGACTCCTTTCAGCTCTTCCGCTTCTCCTGCCAACACACATTTCTCTCCTTTAGTGATTGCACAGGGCACTCAGTGTCAGAAGTTAGAGAGGATAGCGTTGTGAAAGAAAAGCTTTGAGTCAGCAGCTCTTATGGTAATGATTAGTAGTATAGACATTCATCTCAGTCTTATTCTATAGCTTTTGACCTTCAGACCTGCAATCCTCTGTGCTGATGATCTATTAGGGTCAAACACCAGTACTGCAAGATGCTCGTAATGAAACATGACAGTATTGATATGCTGATATTAAAAGAAAGATTACTTGATTCAGCAGTCTGTTTAATACAGCTATAAATCTTTCTATGCTGAGGACAAGAAACCATCATACACACTCTCACCATTTGCAGACTTTCCTCATACTTAGTTTTTATTCTCTGATTTAAATGTTTTTTAATTATTATGGAACAGAACACTCTTTTTTATTACAGAATAGCAAGAAGGATGGACAGAAGGAAGCGGATAACATGAAGCTTCTAATGATTACCTTATAAAAGTTTTTGATTTTTCAAAACTTCTTTTTAAGCCTAAAATAGAATGATCATGTGCAGCGAAACATTCCTGACCACCCCCAGGAATGTTTGGTTGGTTGAATCCATGTTTCCTGGAAGGACGATCCTTAAGTACAGCTATGGGTGTGATCTAGAGATGGGCACGAAATGCCAAATGGTGGTTTGTCCTAGTTTGTTTTTCGGCTGAACAGATGTTTGACACTTCCCAGCCCTGCCTTCTCCAGCAGTTGCCCACTCCGAGGCAGCACCCTAGCTTCCTTGCCCCATCTCCTCCGGCCCCTGCCTCTGAGTGGGCACCTGCTGGAGAAGGTAGGGCTGGGAAGCACCAGTTCGTTAGTTCGTGCCCATCTCCGGTGTGATCACACGGGGATACAGCTCACATTTTGAATCACTTGTGCGAGTTATTTCCCTACAATCATATGATGTACAGTGGTGCCTCGCTAGACGATGATAATCCGTTCCACTGAAATCGCTGTTTAGCAAAATCATTGTCTAGCAAAAAGCATTTCCCCATTGGAATGCATTGAAACCTGTTTAATGTGTTCCAATGGGGAAGAATCGTCGTTATCTAGCGAAGATCGGCCATAGGAAAGCCGCTTTGTGAACCGCTGATCAGCTGTTTAAATCGCTGTCTTGCGAAGCTTAGGTCCCGAAAACCCCCAATTTTCCGAGCGCGGAGGGAGATGTCAAAATCGTCGTCTATCTAGTAAAAATCAGTTTGTGAAGCAGGGACCAAACATTGTCCAGCAAAATTCCCTCATAGGAATCACTGTTTTGCGAATCACTATAGCAATCACAAAAAGTCAATGTCTAGCGAAAAAACTGCCATGCGGGGTAACTGTCTAGTGAGGCACTACTGTGCAGTGCTCCAGCCTGACCTCAATCCCTGCCCAAGCTTGGTCCAGCAATAGGGATAATGCTTTTGGGGTCCTGGTTGGAGTAATTTCCTGACAGACAGAAGGGTCAGTTTAAGGGACCTTGCCTTTGTCAAAGCAACCCTTTCTGGTACAATCAGATGTCCACCTTTCTTGTTCGATTGTACCCTATTGTCACCTGCATAGTTCAGTCCTCTTTCTGAGGCTAATCTGCTCAACGTCATTGTTGGGTAGATTGAGATGAGGTAGGGTGCAGAAAGCAGTGATATCCTTTTATGAGAGTACTGAATCTGTGACAAGTCGATATTTATAGTCAAAAGAGAACAGAAACAAGCATTTTCTGTTGTCCCATGTGCAAGTCTTTACCGTTGTTTTGTAGTTCATTAATCTGGAGAATCCCATTGCATTAAAGTATTAAACGGGAGTTAAGGATGTTGAAGAAACAAGCATTTTCTGTTGTCCCATGTGTAAGTCTTTACCATTGTTCTGGAGAATCCCATTGCATTACAGTATTAAACGGGAGTTAAGGATGTTGCATCTGCATGGAGTCCCTGCAGAGCTCACATGATTGAAATCTATCTGAGCATTAGGGTTAGCATCAAACACCCCAACTTCAATTCAGTGGACAGAATTCAGCAAACATCCAGAGAAGGCTTCTGCTAGCTGGCTTGGGAGAGTTGCCATTTTCAGTAGTTCCACCTCATTCCTTAATCTCTTCCTACATCCAGTTTCTGGTGGTCCTCAAGGCACAGTCTTCTCTCTGGCAGCCCTGCATCCAGGGACCTACCTTCTCAGGGATATACACAATTTCAGTGGAGTGTGGAGACCACACATAGAACAAGGAGTGTACTGTACACCATCATTGCTTTAATCTCAACAATAATTTTTTCTGAAGTGGAGGTTTGCTGTACCCAGATTGCCTCTCCATGTGAGTAGACCCCCATTTTTGGTGGTGGCGGTGGTGGGTATCACAGGGAGATATTATCTGCACCAAACCATCTCTGCGGACTTTTTAAAATTTCTGTGATTAAAGCAATGACAGAGGAAGACGAAGCAGACTGGATGATTGAACAGGGCTTCAGTATTGATGAGAAATAAACAATGTAAAGACAATGGGTTTAGCAGGTGCGCAAATAATGTAAGGGCCTGCATAGTGCAGCTGTTTTTCCTCAAAATACTCATAAATACAATTATTTCTAGAACCCGTTCTCTCCAATTGCCCATCTTAACTCTCTTAATTTCCTGCATTCTCTCCTCCCTCCCAGCCGTACCCAGTCCATTGTATTCCTTCCCACATGCCCTGTCCCGCATCATGTTCACCACACATAGCTTCATTCAGTCATGGGGTTGAACAGGAAGTTGGACTCAATGGCCTTATTAGTCCCTTCCAGCGGAACTATTCTATGATTTTATTTCTGCTTGTCCCAAATCTTTACACCATTGTTTATGGTTTCTGATGAAGTAGGAATCTAGAATCTAGAAACATTCTAGTTTCTTGACATCTCTGTGGAGAGAACAGACCAAAGGGGCTGAACATATAGCCAAAATGTTGTTGCCTATTGAGCCAAAATATTGTTATCTCAACACACCTGTTGTCTCTCACACCATTTTATAGATTCCCGGTCTCTTCTCTTCCTTCTTAAACAAACCCTCCCCCTTCTGAAATCTGTCTTATTATAAGATGTGTGATGTATTTCTCTTCTTTACTAGACAAGTACAAATAGGTCCCCTGTGACAACTCCATACATGCAAAAATGAAATCTTCCAAATCTTCACTGACAAATAAAACACTACAGCTACATATAACCCCAGATTTATATGCTGTTAAACCCACCAATGCCTTTTCTCACACTGGGGCCACTGGGAACTCATGTAGTACAAATAAATAAAAATAAAGGTGGATTATAAAGCTATCATTTAAATGTCTTGCATTTGTAATGTCTTCTGAAATACTACAAAATACAGCTATAGTGTATCAAAGAGGCAGATAATAATCTTAGAATCTAGAACTAGAAGGCGATCCTACGGATCATCGAGTCCACTCCCTTTGCGGGGAATTTTAACTCCCAACTTCTGTCTCCACATTCAGATACCTAAACCATCCAGCAGGAAAAAAAATGTCATTTAAATGTCATATGTCTTTGGGGAGTTCAGAAAGTTGGAAATATGTCCTATCTGTATTGACAGGGTCAATGATAAATGGTGAAGTTATAATTTCGGTATAATTTGCTCTTAGTGACATTTTCAATAATGGATGTCATTATCTTGAGTGGATCAAGAAGGACTATGTGACGGTGCGTGGGTGTAATCTCTTTTTCCCTTGGAGAGTCATCTAATCTTTTGGAATGCAATTTAAAGAAGAGTCGGTGTTTCCCTCTGGGGATTGTGTTTTTAAAATATGGTTGGAGAAAAGGGAGTTCCCCAGATTTCACCGGCGTGATAGTTCTTCTGTTCTTCAGTGTCAAACAGATAATAAATGTACTTTACATGGCTTTTGTGTCTTGTCCAAGGTGTCACAGACTGGCTCTCCTCACAGGAAGCACAGTGGAGGAATCAAACTCCCAAACTCTGGATCCGCAATCCGCAGCCAGATATCTAAACCACTGAGCTACACAGCCAGCTTTAAAAAACGGCTTTCGATCAATCTTTTATTACAGTGCATCCCCATCCTTGAAAAACAAGCCAAAATACTTCAGAAATGTTTAAATTAACAAAGTATGCTTGGAGTGGGAGTCGGTATTTCTGGTGCCTCTGATTAATGTTAGGTTTGTAGCTTCTTCCTTCAGACAGCAGGGCCACAGATCTTTGGTGGCTCGTGAGGGGCCTGTGAGGAAAAGGACTCAGCAGATTCAGGAATTGTCATGTTTACCTCAGGGCTCTTTGTTTGAGAGAAACATGAAGAGAAACAACAACATGGGAATGTGCCGCGCTCAGTTTTGGCAATTGTGCTTAATTAGGTTTCAAGCAGTTGTCCCACTGCAGTGGAAAGAGAGTTGGCAATTATAGAATACTTTCCCTTCAAGCCTAGAGGCGACTCCGGCATATAAATCTCTGTAATTCAGCAGGTGATTGAGGTCGGCTCTCTTTGCTGAGCAGACATCTTAAGCACTGGATATTGTAGTGAGGGGAGGAATTGAATTCCATTTGATTCATTTTTTAAAAATGAAGAAATGTCTAAATGCTCAGATTGCTGGATAAATTTGATGCAAAGAACTTTTTTATTTTATAAAAAGAACGGATTTGCAATTAAAAATGAAACGGATTTGCTTAGCCAGGCAGAGACTATTGCATGAGCTCTTCAGAATCTGGTTTTGAATCTCTATGGATGCAGCTATGTTTATAGTCTACAACGAAGCCTTTTAAAAAATTCCTGACAGGCTCCATAATTGTTGGGTGAAGCCGGATCTACTCAGCAACACAGATACCTGCACCTACTGAACGTGGGTGGTATAGATAGCTGAGAATTTCTTTTAGTTCATTTTTATAATATTACTGTATTTACAAATTTTTGGTAAATATCTTCATACATTCGTTGGGAAAACAACCGAGACCTTTTCCCCCAGAAAACAAAAATAGAAGAAAATAATATTTTGTCCAACCCTAAGCACCCATCTAATTGATGGACAGCAGGGAATTATATACTTGTGTGAAAAAACAAACCTGAAAATGCCTGGAAATCTACTTTAAATATGGTATTTTTTTCATGTTAAACAGCAGAGGAAAGAGATAAGCTACATCAGACATACATTAGCCTAGCTCTTGGGAATTCTACGTGTGTGTGTGTGTGTGTGTGTCTGTGTGTGTGTCTGTGTGTGTACACACATGCATGCATGTACACAGGCACAGTACTTTACACATGGATACAGAGTGTGTGTGTGTGTGTACATGCATGCATGTACACAGACACAGTACTTTACACATGGATACAGATACTGTACATGCAGTTTATGTTTCAGCGCCTCACACCATTTTCAGTCATTAGAAAATTGTGTATGCTTATGATGGGTAGAGGAGAGTGCTCTCACCTTGTCCCGGGCCCTCGTTTCTTCATTCTCCTACATCTGGAGAGCAACCAGTCTGAAAAAAGTCTCTACTATCAGTGGGAGCACTGTGTGTGAATTGGGCCTATGGGGAATTCTGTATCCTGACTTACATAGAGACTCCCCTCAGGTATGACAAAAGCTCCTTCCGAGATTCATTGCTCTCCATTAGAGATGGGCACCCACCACTGGTTTGGCAATTCATCCCAGTTTGTTTACCATTGCCACAGGTTCGGGTGATTTGCTGCTCTGCCCCCTCCAGCAGGCGCCCATTCAAAGGCAGTGCCCGGAGGAGGCGGGGCAGAGGAGGCAGGGCAGAGAAGACTGCTTCTGAGTGAACTGAGTGAAGGACTGTGCCCATCTCTACCCTCCATGTGTAGCAGAGTAATGAAACCAGAAACAGAGCAGGGTGGGGCTAGAGCACCTATGTGCGCTTGTGTGTGGCAAATGTGCACAGTTTGCTAACAATTGAACAGGGCTTCTAGTCTTGTTCAAGTGCTGAAAGCCAGATACGGTTTGATTCCATCTGATGAGATGTCTGCTACACTCCATTTTGACTGGATATGCTTTATTTTATTTTATTGGCCTTTGCCTTACTGGCTGATATAACGAAAGGAAGACTTCTTGTTTTTCTCTTCCTCCTTTCAGGTGTGAACAGAAAGATTGTCTATTCCCTAGCAGACTCTTCAGAAGGCTTTTTCTCAGTAGATAAATCATCAGGAATCATCATTTTGGAACATCCTCTGGACAGGGAACTTCAGCCTTCTTATAATGTCACTGTCAAAGCCTCCGACCAAGGCATCGTGCAGACCCTCTCCTCATTTGCCACAGTTACAATTACGGTTCTGGACATTAATGACAACCCTCCTGTCTTTGAGAGAAGAGATTATCTTGTAACAGTGCCTGAGGACACCTCACCCAGTGCAGAAATTATCTCCGTTTTTGCCACTAGCAAAGACATTGGGACCAATGCTGAAATCACCTACTTCATCCGGTCTGGGAATGAAAAAGGGAAATTTAGGATCAACTCAAAGACAGGTATGTTTTTGAAATACTTGTAATGCAGGATTAAAGAGCTGTGTTTAAATATACTGTATATACATAAAGGAAATAATTATTAATCAGAGGTTTAAAAAGTATAGATAAAAATAATCTAGGCCAGGCATAGCACAGATCCCAAAAGTGGCAGTATGGCACAGTAGTTAAAGCATTGGATGGAAAAGTTTACCTTTTGACTTATTATCCTCTTATACAGAAATAAATGCACATTTGTCTTGTCCTTTCAGGCAAGGAGAAAGAAATGTGTTCCTCTTCTTGAAGACAATTCAGGAGGCATAGAATTTCAATGACAATAATGTCTTCCACAAAAAGCATAGTTTTTCCTCAAAACTGTGCAATTTTACAACTGTGGGAACATTATGAATCACCCAAATTGGTAATTTATTTAAGATGGGTTATTGACATCCTTCTTGACAATCAGCCAGTGCCCCTGCACTCGCAATGTGCGTGTTTTGCTTTCCAAAGGGGGGAAAATAACACTTTGCACAAATTACAGAGATATTGAGGGGGGGGAAAGACCCTTTGCCTCCACTCTTCCCTGGAGGTGAAGAAACGTACAGAGCTTTAAAATACTTTGTTGATGTTCTTGCCTTGTCAAGAAAGCCTAAATCCACAAGAACAAGAAATTTATTGACTGTTTTTTCATCCATACCACAGATTCATTGTCAAGAGGTATTTCTTACATTAAAAGGACCTTGTCAGCTTAATCCTTTTTTTAAAAAACGGCAAATAACAGTAGTTTAGGAAAATTCTGAAACTGCATTTATAAACACGATTTAACATCTCTCTTCTTGTACATCAACCTGTTCTTGTCCCCATGTTTTTTCCTCAGTTCGTTGGAACTAGTTTCCACAGAGCTTGGAAGAGTTGCTGTTTTAGACTGTAGACTGCCAAAACTCCTTAGCCAATATGGCCAACAGTAATTACAGTCTGAAAAAAAAGTAACTTTCGTGAGCGCTGCTTGCCTGTTTACATTTAAGCTGTATTGTCTGCCTTTTTTTCAGAAAGGATTCACAGTATGTTATAATAGTACACTGAGCAATGCATTAAGACATATACTGTACAGGATGGCTCTATGGATAGCTCAGATTCTTACCGTTGCCCCTCCAAAATTCATTGTTCCTTTAATTTGGCAGTCCCATTTTGCCATCCTGCCTACTAACCACTTGCCTCCATGAATGCCTGATTCCTCTTAAAGCTGTTCTGACTCAACAGTGTGCCAACTATAAAGAACTAGGATGAGCCTCAAATCTCTTCTGCCAGCAGAACCTTCTTCTGCCAGGTGACCTCAGAAATCTGCCAGCAGTCTGTCAGCAGAATATCTGCAGTAACTGGCAGAGATCTACTGACAGGGAAACCAGAGGAAGGGGTGAGAATCAGGTTAAACCAGGTCCAAACCTTCTCCATCCCAGGAATGCGGCCAAAATGCCAGGACAAAATTGAACCAGAATGAGGATACAATGGTGCCTCGCTTAACGACGATAATCTGTTCCAGGAAAATTGCTGTTAAGCGAAAATATCGTAAAGCGAAATTTAAAAACCCATTAAAATGCATTGAAACCCATTCAGTGTGTTCCAATCGTCTGAAAACTCACCATCTAGCAAAGATCCTCCATAGGGGCGGCCATTTTCAGGTGCCTGTATAGCGAAAAATTGCTCCTAAAAACAGTGGGGAGCCATTTTGTACACCTGGCGGTCATTTTGAAACCCAATGATCAGTTGTTTTTAGATCATCGTGATGTGAAAATCGGTTCCCAAGGCAGGGAACCGATCATCGTGAAGCGGATTTTTCCCATTCAGACCATCGTTTTGCGATCATTTTTGCGATTGCAAAAACCTAATCATCAAGTGATTTCCTCGTTAAGCGAAGCAAGCGTCAATAGAGGCACCACTTTAGTTATCAACATCCTTAGGGTGGAACGGATTCAGCACAAGTTTAGCCGGTCTTTGATTATTTTAGCCAGTTAGAGTAGAAGTGGTCATGAATCTCATAGACTGGACTGTAAATATGCCTTCTCTTGATCCAATCAAGGAGAGGAAATCTGCCTGCCCAGGTTTTTTTCTTTTCGTTTAGGCTATAAGCTCAAAATATTAAATCAGTTTTTTCCCAGCTTTTTTGTCTGGCAGGTCCTGTTCTTCCTTCTCTCCTCCCCCCGGATGTGAAAGTGCTTTCCTTAGTCAGAACAGTGTTTAAAATACTCTTGTAGTGTATTTTAAGATTTATTGTATCAGTGACATCAGCGTAGCGCCTCTCCTGGAATAACAGAAAATAAATATTTTTTACTCATCTGGAATAAAATAATAGTTGGAGGTTTTTTTGCCTTCTTTTTACAATAAGGAAGGCAAAAAGATAGATCAGTTTTTTAAAAAGAGAGGTGACATGTAATCACTAGAGAGATGGGGAAAAGG